CCCCCCCCCCCCCCTTTCCCTCTCTTCTCCTACCACCAATCTCCTCCCTTCTTCTTCTTTTTTAACCCCCAGAAAGGCATTGTTTGAGTCAGGGCTTGATCAAAAAACTGTTGCCCGCCAACCACAGGGCTTTCTGTAAATTCAATAAGGCCACCTTAAAGATTTTCCTAATTAATGGATGACATCTTTGGCTGGAGGAGAGGCTAGGCATTCTGCTCCAGCTCGCTCTTTGTTCGCCTCCTAATTAACTTTCCTAGGTCACTCAGGTCCCCGCAACCTGAGAGTGAAGAGCCCCCATTGAGGAGGGAGTTGTAAACTTACTTTTTTTGCCTCGGCACTTAAAAGGGGAAAGCAACTATAGGGAACAGAAAATATCCTATTTAAGTCCTTTGTGAGTGAACTGCTTGCACATGTTCCAATAAAGGAAGTCTTCTAAATAAGCTGCCATGTTGCTCTCCGCTCCCCCTCTTTCTCCCTTATCCCACCTCTTTCACTCCCAGCTCCACAGAAAGGTTATGAATGATAGCTCTGGGTGAGGTTGGGGGTGGGATTAGGGGGGTAAAGGGCCAAAGGACAGCATCTGGGCATTGTCGAATTGTGAGCATCTGAAACTTTGAGGGAATTTGAGGATGGGAAAGCACTGAGCTCCAGGGTGGTGGGGTGTATGATTGAGAAAAATGTGGTGCATATGAGAAGGGAAAAAAAACAAGTGCCTCTTTGCCCTGATCATTGTTTGGGTGTTTCTAAAGGACCCCATGTCTCCCAGCAGCTTTCATCACTCCTCATCTTTATCTTTCAAGTTAAAACATATATAGTCCAGCAGAAACACAACTATATATGAAATATTGTCACAAAAAAGCTTCTGTTATTGCCATTTCATTACTTTAAACTGGACACAGATAAAGCCAACATGCATTAATCTGTCATATTTTATTATAAATATGTTTTAATATAAGTTGCATGCTTACATTTTTACTAATAAGTGCATTTTTAAGCATTGTCCTAAGACATTTGCGGGTGCAATAAGAAAAATGTGGTTCATCTTTCAAGCAAAGACATTTATCCAATAGGCAACCTGTGTTTATTTTAGTCAGAATTTTTATTTATATTGCATAATTTTGCAATGTTTTACCTTTTTGTAATGTTCTTGTGCTTAAATGCTAACAAATTAATTAACTGGGTGATAAAATACTCCTTATCCTTTTGCAACCATTCTAAATGTTATTCCTTGGCATTGCCACAAAATAATCAGTAGTTAGAAAGCCACTCTAAAAGGGAAAAAGGCAAATGATTCATAATGTGTAATATCTATAATATATAATATATTTAATACGTAATAACGTCCCTCACCTTGAATCCGACATGTATGAACATTTTTGCAGAAACATCTGGACCGATCGCTTTGCTCCACAAGTCTTGTCCCTAAAAAGAAATAAACATTAATCAAATGACATGCAAGATGTGTTTAAAGGGGGAAGTAAATCTAATCAATTCAAGATAATGCAAAAAGATAATATTTGAAAATGCAACTAAATCCAATAATAATTTACAAATAATGAAAACATGTAAAGAAATGAAATATGGTCCATAGGTTCACATAGGCATGTGGAAGCCAAAAGGTTGACCCTGTTTGACCCTGAAGAAGACCACTGTGCCGTCAACAGTCGTTCATCTTGTTTAGAATAATGATAAAACAGGCTTTTAACATTTATGCTGCCTGGTGAAGGTCCATGACTGAAATTCAGCATCTCTGATCAATCCGCAGTGTGAGGGATTTCAACTGTTTGCTGCACATTATTTTATGTTCCTAGCACTTGTCTAGCTCATTTTCAGGTGTATACTTGTATTTTGTGTGTCTACTAGAAAAGGATTGATTGCTATATTATTAAAAAAAAAAAACATAATTTCTCTCATGATGTTTGAATATACTGTACCTGTATTTCCCTTCTTGTCTGAAATACTTAGTGTTAGCACCTGGCTCTCTAAACTCTCCTGCCGAAAAAAGGGACGTCTGCTGTGATTAAGTTGCGATACAAATATGGCGCACCTTTTAAAAGATTGTTCTTAAGATTTTGGTGGAGATACTAATAGGGGGGGTGGAGGAGATACTAACATGTGGGGTGGAGATACTTACATGGGGGGTGGAGATACTAACATGGGGGGTAATAGTTTCTAATCAACCTACATGTCACATGTGAAGGGGTGCAAAATCTGAATGGCTGGTTGAATCCTCTGTTTTTGAAACGCGGCATTAAAAAAAACGAACTGGGTTGTTTTGCGTCACAGTTTTTGCATTGGTAAGCATTTCAGATACCATAAGGTTTGTGCACAAGCACTACAACGTTTAAGATAATGTAACACATATCCTATCATCAGTGGCTATCCTCCAATACAAGGGTCTATGCACACAAAACATATCACTCACGAACGTACAAATGCCACATGCTCATCAATATTCTCATCATGTCACCTGACACACACACACTGACCCAGATATGCTCTCCAGAGAGCCTCATCACACACATTACGCCCCAGTCTGAATACAGGGAAGGTCACATGCCCTGATTATATCAATGAATCCCCGTCCCCAGTGTTTCTGGGTGTGTATTAAGACCCAAGAGGTGAGTGTGAGGCTCCTGATGACAGCTCCTGTGCTGCAGGGTCCCCGAGGGTTAATGACGAGTGGAAGCTGGGACCCCAGACCGTGACCGTTAAACCTGACCTGTGGAGCCGGCGGGATAACATCAGCAGAAGCAGGACTGACTGCTGAACAGAGCGGGATGAACAGCAGAGCAACTGTCACATTGATGCCAGGAGGAGCACTGCTGACGACAGCCATTCTGCCGTTAATCTATCTGAAGGCCAAGACCACTGTTCACACTGCTGCTGCTTATTAGAGACTAATAGAAATTGTGCTGGTGCCTAAATCAACTGCACATGAAACTCTCTTTTTTATGATATTTCAAAGGAAAAAGTCCACCTTAAGTCATGGATGTCACTTGGATGTTTGACCTTAACCGTGCAGAGTTCCACCCTTTAAGGCTGTTGTCACATTTATCTGCTGAATGGGGGAACAAAATCATCTTTAATCTGAGGGTAAGATGTGAATGTGGAGGACCATTTTGTCACATCACAACCAGTTTAGAGCTACATTTGTTGGAATGTGTAACTATCTCAAGTGTGATGTGGGAACTTCAAACCCCAACTACACATACACAGAGATTGGATGAACACAAACTATTATTCCAAGCATTGTCTGGATGGGATCTTCATAAAATACAGGAATGTGTCTGCTGATTCGTACCCTGATGGGATTATCTACAACCATTTAAAACTCTAAAACGAAATGTAATAAGATAGTTAATAGTCACAACACAAAAGTTTCAAACATATGACATATATTTGTTCTTATATCATTCAATAGTGATAAATAGCGTTTGCGTGTCAAACCCCTGTGCCAAAGTCGATATCACATTACAGTTATGTAGTTATTCCAACATTGAGGAATAGCTCAATAAGTGTATAAGTGTATCTTTTTGAAAATGTATGAATATTATATGTTAAAAAAATATATCTTAAGGTGCATGCAGACAAAAGTATCAAAACGTTTGAATAAAGTAAATATAAAACGTACAGCAGTTAAATATGTTTTACACAAGACGGATCCTTTCTAGCCATAACCCTGCTGCAGTGCACGTCTCCATTGAAACCAATGGAAATGAGCTCGCAACGCTGATGTGTATGGCTCCGTACAAAGTTGTACTCATTGCATTAGTATAGGCTACTGTAGCTTTTTACACTGGAGGAGCCCATCTCGGCCGAAGTCGGTTCATATTAACCTAAAGGTACATAATTAAATGGTAAATGTCGCCTTTAAGGAGCAGAACATTTTTGTTTTATTTGTGTGTGAATAATGAAATAATTTCAAATATGTTTTTCTGTGTAAGGTAATTGGTGTGGAGAAGATTGACCTCAGCCTTGCTTTGAACATTGTTCCAAAGGCTCTGTAGTAAAAGTATTCAAATGTTTTGTGTGATTTACTTGACTAACTTAAACTTGATCTTTAACTAATTGAAAACTGGTATTAGTCTGACAATTTCTGAATATTTATTCATAACATTTACATACTGCAAACATTGCAGGGATATACACATTTTCTGATTTATTAGGCAAAAGTTATTCAGAAAGTGAGAGGCAAAAGCCAAACATTCTGCGATAAAGCCTCCTTCACAAAAGTGATAATGTTTTGTTTGTTGAAATGGCTATAAGGGTGTTTCTTATATATAGTCTTATATTACAGTAATACTTATTTTAAGTCGCTTTGGAAAAAAACGTAAACTAAATTAAATGTAATGTAGTCTAACCTGGTTGTTCGTACTTGATATAAAAAGTTATTCTCACTATAGAGCCAAAACAGGAGTAATGTGGTCCCTTTTCCGTGCTCTGGTCAATACATTTTGAATCAGCTGAAGCAACTTAACTGAGTTTTTGGTACACCCTGATAATAAAGAGTTACAATAAGCTAGCCTTGAAGTAACAAATGCATGGACTAGTTTCTCTGCATCGTTTTGAGGCAAGCACACAACTACAATCATAACATCATTAGAAAATGAAATGATTTCATGATTTTTATGACTGTGATATTTTGTTTTCTTTGATAAATGCGGAGTTTAAGCGTATAACAACCCTGCCCCTCCAATCAAGATTTCTCTCTCAGCTGGATGTGCTATCTGACAAACTTCTGAAGGTTTTTGAGAAGTAGAGGAGGACAGATAGGCCAGCGTCTGAACTGTATTATGTCAAACATGACTCAAGTAAGAATTCATTTTAAGGAAATTAGTCAATAGTGTACACATTGCATTGAGCAAAACAGATTCTTTATTTTCTTATTCCCCTTCACTTAGGTTGATGATGTCGATTTAGGGCGGGATTGTCTTCTCAAGGGGCTGTGTGTGTACCTCAATGAGAGAGTTTGTGGTCAGTAGAAGTAATATTTGACCTTTTGATTTTTTTGTTGGGCTTTAAAATATGTATTTATTGAAACACCACATAGTATATAGCCTAAACCCTAAAGTATGTGAACATCCCTGTTTTTTGTTTAATAGCCAGACTACACTGAAAAGCTAGAGGGCTTTTAATTTAAAACGGATACAGGAAATGAAACATTTTTGATCAGGTCAGACAGGAGTATATCAGATAACAAGGAGGCTTAAAAGTACAAATCTGACAAAAAATGTACTTGTTAAACACAGGGATTTAGTAATGGGTATATATGTATTGATTTGTTAGATCTCACTCTGTTCCTTTTGTGACTGTGCACTCTGTAGGCAGAAGATGAAGACGTCATTCTGCGGTCCATTCAGGGGATTACAGTGGGACTTTATGTTGTCAAACACAATTCCACCATGAGACCAGAGGACAGATGAGACCAGAGGACAGATGAGACCAGAGGACAGATTGTCCTGGAAGGCCAACAGGTACTAACTGATGTGGACAACATTGCATTAGCTGCTACCATGCTGTTTGGACTAATGTATGCAATGAACCTGAACTACCCCCCTAAACTGAAGTGCACGTTCGAAGTGCTCCAGCAAATGTTAATGGAGCTAGACGGCAACATGCTCTCCAAGAAAGCCCAAGCGTTTAAAAACAAATTATTTGAGTGAGCTGTTGCCATGGACCATTGTGCACTTTTACAGCATTTATACTGGACTTTCATCGATACAACTGTCTTGCACTTCCTTTGCTCATGCTTTTTGCTTGATTTGCATGTTTCAGAAATGTGTGTTTTTCCTGGGGTCATGTGTTTTCAGAATGTACCACTTTTCATGTGTTTCAGAATGTACTAATTGCGCTACTTCAAAATGTCAGTTCTTGTTTTTATTTGTAATACTTTCTTTAGTGCATATGTGGTGAGAAACCAGGCCATTATTATACTTTCATGTATTTTTCCAAAGCAATGCCATTGCTTTTTTGCATTAAAGTGCCCTTTCATATTAGCAGGTTACTATTTAAATAATGGATTTGCAAGAACATTTCCTTTTTTCGGCTAGGCGTTGACATTTTCTGTTAATTGTTTACTATGAATGAGTTACAAAAATAAGCCTTTCTTTGCCATTTGGAACAAAAAAACATTATTTTGGTCGGGAGAATAGTTTCCTTTAAGTCTCATCGAGACAAGAGGGTAAGAAAAAGAAAAAAAATATTTGTGGTGGCTGTTCGAGGTGAAACCAAATCAAAGACACAAATTACAGTCGATACAAAATCCTCCCATAAGGAGTGAAAAAGGATAGGGAGGTACCAGGTACTTTTCTCAGACCAGCAGAAGATGCGATTTACACCTTCAAAGCATCTCATCTAAGGCAACACACATAGCATACCCACAAATCTACAAACGCATACAAATACTACTCGGATATAACCCATAAAAAACTGGTAGAATATCCTGACTGCTTAAACCTCAAATATCTTATGGAAGAATGCAAAAACTGAACTAGTAACAGATGAGGTATCTTCAACCTTCTGTGCTGTCATCTCATATATCAACTTTTTAGGAGGTTTGACATGCCTCCCACATCTAGTAGTGACTGAACCACCACAGCTCGCATGAACACTATGAGCGGCGAGTTGAAAGCTCTCCGGCTGACTAATTCCTGGAAATCCGCACGCGCCCCCACGTTTTGCACGAAACGGGGGTGTGAAGTGTGAGTGGAGCGCGCGTAGACGTTCTTGCGAAAGCGACCCCTTATACAGACGTCGTTGGGAAAGGGGTTGGTACGTGCGTCGCACCGGGGTGCCGAGGAACGTCTGCGCTGGGAAAAAAGAGTGGTTGACGTGTCATGTACTCTGTTGGGCCAGAAAGCGGAAAATGGAAGCAGAAGCGCGGCCCACGGGTGCGAGAGTGGGAAGCGGAGTAATACAGGTCGGTGCCCGGAAGAGTCCTACTTTTGTCGTGGCCGCGCGCCCCAGGTGGTGAGGTTGGAGGCGGGAACAGAGGAGTCACTGCGTGTGCCTGAGACACACTTGCGAGGCGTCGCTAGCGAGTTTAGTGTGGCGAATTACGCGTTCTGGCAGTGGAGCGAGCGAGAGGGCGGTCAGTTTCCAGAGGCGACGCGACGCCCACTAGGCGGCAGAACAGCGCGTGGCAACCACCGCTCCCGTTTTCTTTCGAACGACTGTTCACCCAAAGATGGCGGGATACTACACACGCCACTCCCGACCCTACTGCGACATGTCCTACTTCTCCTACGGGTTAGACCTTTTTCTCCTCGAACACGTAGCCTTGGACGAGGCGGGCCAACTGGAAAGGAAAAGTATGGCTCCAACTTTGAGGACGAGCAAACAGGTTGAGTCTATTAGTGCCCTACTCCTACACCTTCATCAGTTCAGACGCAGTACACCTGTTACTGCTCCTCGATCTAGCGTGACACCTGACCGAGTACTTGCAGTGACTGGGTCAGGGACGGTCACTACGACTGAGTGGACTGGGCCAGGGACGTCACTACGGTGACTCGACTGAGCCAGGGAGCGGGTAACTCGCTGAGTAGACTGAGTCGGACTGTCCACCTGAGAATGCGTTGGCTGGGACTGACACTTGAGATGGTGGACTGGGTCTGGACCTCACGACGACTGAACTGACTGGGTCTGAGTCAACCACAAAAGAGCAACATTGAATGTGTCTTCAACAACTCTTTGGTACGATAAACG